GGTAATCGGGTTTTGGTTCGAACCTCGGGTTTTTACCACGTGGGCCCGGGGGCATTTTTGACCTTTTTGGGTAAAACTTGGGAAAACTTATTTTCATGCATTGGGGATGATTCATTTAGCATTTATTAATGTAATTAAGTAAATTGTGACTAGATTCGAGCGGATTGGAGGTGGAATCGCGGGGTAAAGCTATAATTGAGGCTTGAGTTGTATTCGAGGCATTGAGGTAAGTGTTTGGTCTAACCCTAGCTTGAGAGACTAGGAGTTGAGTCTTATTTGCTAATTGCTTCTTGTTGAGTACGACGTATAGGCATGGTGACGAGTATCTATACGTTAGTGTCTAGCATGACCGTGAGTCTTTAAATTGTGAATATCTTGATTTTGTTGTATTTCCCTTGCCTTGGTGATGATTCCTAATTGCTGTGAAAAGCTTGTGAAAGGAAATTGTGACCTACGAACAGCGAGGAGCATTGGCTCAAGTTATATTTCAATTGTGAACGTATATGAAATGGTTGAACCCCTTTGGAGTAGTGGCTCAAGTGGTAAAGTGAGATATGAAATGAAAGTGAAAGGAAGAGAAAGAGTACTTAAATTGTTCCCTTGTCGGGATATTGTTGTTTATTGACTGTTATTCCCTTGCCGGGATGTTGAGATTATAGATGTTGTACCCTTGCCGGGATTTAATTGTTCAATTGTGTTTCCTTGCCGGGATTTCTGTTATTATTTTGTTTATCCCCTTGCCCCATGTTTGTGATTGTTGTTTGGGTGAGGAAGAGTGTTAAAGCACGATGGGTGATGTCGTGCATTGTTTGCTTATGGTGAGGAAAGAGAGTAAAGCACGAAGGGTTATGTCGTGCCGCACGATGCACCATTCTGTGCCGATTCTATTAATTATATGTGAGGAAAGAGAGTAAAAGCACGAAGGGTGATGCCGTTCACACTTTATTATATCATTGCTTGGTGAGGATGAGAGTAAAAGCACGAAAGGTGATGCCGTGCACTTGTTGCTTTCTGTTTCTTTATTAATGTCTGGGTTGTGTTGTTTCCTTCGTTACTGGACGATTTTTACTTGAAACTGTTATTTCCCCCATAGCATGCTCCCCCTCCCATATTAATTACTTGTCTCCGTGTTTCGATTCTGCTATATATGTATATATATATATATATATATATATATATACATGTGGTAGTCTGGTCTAGCCTCGTCACTACTTCGTCGGGGTTAGGCTAGGCACTTACCAGCACATGGGGTCGGTTGTGCTGACGCTACACTCTGTACTCTTTTGCACAGATCCAGGTTTTGGACAGCAGCAGCCGCAGCAGTAGCGTGGGAGCAGGCCTTCAGTCATACATGATTCATGAAGTTGATCATTGCCATTCGAATTCCTTCCGATATTAGCTGGGCTAAGTAATAGGAGTTGTGGATGACTATTATCCTTTCCCTGCCATTTAGAACTATGTTGAAAGATATGGCGTGGCCCAGTAGGCCCAGCTCCACCCATGACATAGGTTGGTGGTTCTAAGGCATTGGAAGTTGGATGAAAATTATGGGAGTGTAGGTAGGAGGGTTGTTTTGGGGAGGTTGGTTCTCCATTGGTAAGGGTCTCTGACGAAAAAGTTGTATGAGACGATATCGACGTCTGCTTGGGAAAGGGATTCTTGGCATTTTTTGATGGTGGGGTATTGTTTATATTATGAAGTTGTGTTACTTCTGGTATGCAAGATTGGGGAGTATCTTTGGGAATGATTGCCAGATTTGTTTGCATGGCGTTTGGGAGGGGAAGCGTAACAGATTTATCAAGGAAGGGAGGGGATTGGGCTTGGTTTACGTGTCTGGAGGCATTGGCCATTTGGAGCAGGTGAGTCTGCTTTTCAGACACGTGTATTATCTTATTAGCTTCATGCATGGTAGTTTTATTAAGATTAATAGGTTGGTTAGGGGAGATAGTAGTGTTAGTGAAAGAGTTATGGTTAATAGGGGTATTATTAGTAGTTGTAGTCGACACTTGTCTTTCTGATGTGTCACTTAGAGTGTGGGTGTTGGACATTTGGGCAGTGCCAGGTTCATTCCCCTTTTGGGGACTAGTGATTTTGTCCAAAACTTGGTTCTCCTCCATTAGAGCAGTAAATGAGTTAGTAATTTGGATATTTTTATTACTAGTTAAATTCTTTCCATTGAGCACAGTTTTCTCCGTTGAAACATTAGTAGATTTTTGGTTTATAATGCGAGATTTGTAATTAAAAACTTGATTAGTTAGGAATTTACCTGTATTGGCATCAAAGATATTGACATTGATACCTGTTCCACTGGGTAAACCAGTGCTGTTTGAGGGAGTAGTGTTGGCCTTCCTTATTTGTTTAAATGAAACTGTTTGCCATTCTTCGTTCTTCTTTAATGATTGAGGTGTGTTTTGACAACTCTGATCTTTGTCTCCTGTATGGTTCATGGAAGCTTTGGTAGTTGACTCCTTTAGGATGGTGTTGCATTGCCTTACCGTGTGTCCCAAACAGCCACAGTTCTTACATAGTGCATGTTCTCCGCATGATCTTCACACCCTTTGTAGTTTTACAGCCAATCCTGCACCATAATAGAAAGAGATGGCTAGAGGTCCTCAGCTTCCTCTAAAACTCACTACTATGCTTTTCTAGTCGGAAAAAAAAATGTATATTCTATGCATATACCTAGTCATGCATAGAACATTATGATTGGGATGGAACTTTGCCAACCCTTGGAAATTGTACAATAAAATAGAGGAATGTTAATTCCTTGAAGATTTAACTTGTAAAGAAGTAATCCACCCATTTGTGCTTTCTAATTTCAACTGCTTCTTGAATGTGTTTAACTATTTTGGTGAAACACTTCATTTATTACCCTTTTATCATGTTGATTAATTCCCTATGCCCTCTTGTATTTTTGAATACTTATACCTTTGTAGCAGAGATGTGGTCGAGGGCAGAACAAGGGACTATAATATAATGGACACTCTTGAAACTTCTATTGGTTCATTTATACTTTACCTACTATTTTGTTCTGCTTTTTGTTTTAGTTTTTAATGAAGCTTAGGGAAAACGATTTATTATTGTTGGCGAAACCTTTGTATTGGCTTGCTTCAAGACCTTCACTATTAAATCTTCTCGTTCACCCAGAGATCTAGGGTGAAGGGGTAAATACTCTTTCATCTTTGACCAGAGATCTAGGGTTCGAGTTTCTAATTATGGAGTCGCTTTTGTTATGGAGCAAATAGTCGGGTCCCAATGTGAATACCGGACAACGGATGGGAAATAAAAAAAAATCATCTCTTCCTCTTGTCCTTGCACCAGGTGCTAGATACACTTGATTTGTGAACAATATTTATAGGAGATGAATTAGTAATTTCAGTAATTCACAGTGAAAAAACTATCATGAACTTGAGATATTAATAAGCAAAAGGAAAGGGATTAATATGCTCCAACACAGTATAGAAAACAACAACAACTCAGTACAATTCCACTAGTAAGGTCTGGAGAGGATAGTTTGTACACGGATCTTACCCCTACCCTGAGATAGAAAGGCTATTTCCAATAAACCATCAAACCGTAGAAGGAATTATATTATGTGTTTACACGTTACACCTAGTGGATTAGCTGATGTGCGCACAAGCTAATTTGGACATCATCGATTATAAACAATGTAACCATAAGGGATGTTAATTTCTTGAAGACCTCTCTGATTAAAGATGAAGAAAAAAAATGAGCTCTATTGGTTGTAATCAGATATTCATATTCCTTGCTTATTACCTTTTTTCTTGATATAACAAGAATAAACTGAGTGAGTTTCTACAAGTAGTGTATACGCAGACCTTACCCCTACCTCCTTATGAGGGTAGAAAGACTGTTTTCGAGAAGTTTTATTTTGTGTCTTATACAACTAACATTAGTTGTATGAGACTCCTTTTTGTCTCACAAAATTGTGGACTCCAATCTTACACTTCTGGGTCCGCAGATTCTGGGTCCACAAAATTGTGAGACAAAAAGTTGCCTATGAGACACAAAATAAAATTTTCCTTGCCGCTAGACTAGCGACACAGTAATAATACAATGACTCGCTTATCCAGAATCAACGTTATACAAAAAATTATAAAATTGAAATCGAATTATGATTCGAGAAAGACGAAGGTTAGGCTGTTAGCATTACGAAATTAGAAACATGAAAAGACAACAGTAAATTTGTGCCCAAGTAGTGTTACTTGGCTACTCATAACTTGAAGTATTTGATCTCTCAAAGTGAAAGAGAAGGCATAACAAGTTAAAACCTATGTTATTCGGACTCTCCAACATTGTTGACGCTCCCATGTCAGATCCTTAAAATGCATTATTTTTGGAGAATCCGACCCACACCCTATTATATTTTTTTAAAGTCCGAACAACATAGGTTAAAACAACTTATCTTCGAAGGATAAGTTGATCCATAACCATGAAACAATGATATACTAACAATTACAACCACGTTATCTTGCCACGTAATGGCTTGAACTTCAAAATACAACAACAAAACCAGTATAATCCCACATATAGGATCTGCGGAAGGTAGTGTACGCAAACCCTACGTTAACGATAGGGAGGTTGTTTCCGATAGAAACTCAGCTCAATGGATTGAACTTCCGGAAACATAGAAAAAGTAGGAACATACACAAGTTTACAATACCACATTAACCAAAATCCAAGCTTATCACTATCAAATCTCAGATGAAATAAAACTGAAAGGATATAAATAATGTTGAATAAAAGTTAGAGAAAGCGCAATAAGTACCCATATACTAAAGGATAGCAACCACAACAATAACAACCATCCAATAAAATTTCACTAATGTACGCAGACCTTACCCCTATCACAGAAGAGTAAAGATGTTTCCGGAAGATACTTGGCTCAACAGAAAGACATTAATATCATAAAAAAAAAAAAAAAAAAGAATAGATCCGTAACAACAAAAAACAGAAAAAATAATATCGGAATCGTAAGAGACGGCAAATAAGTTGATTAGATAAGCATAGCATTTAGATAATTAGATTCCAAGTTACTTAATACATTCACTAACATAAAAATTCAGTCTTTACTAGTACATACCAATAAGCAAATTAAGATTCTGAACTATTGTTATATTAGGGTTAAAGCTAGGGATAATCAAAGCGTACTACTAATACTGCACTAGTACCACCTCCTTAGATTCTTCATTGCGACTACGCGTTTGTGTTGTTGTTCAAGGATCCATTTTTTAGAGTGTCTGTCTCCTTCAGCATCATATATGTTCGGATACATATGGCAGCAAATTGGCGGGCAAACCAAAATACCTGAGCTTAAACCGAAATTATCTTCGAATTCGACCTAAAGCATATTCAGCAAAAAATTAAAGAGAGAGTCAGTTAGAAATTACAAGTATTAAAAACAAAAAATATGAAAAAAAAATTACTATTATAATTAGTTTAAGCACCTTTTCCAGCTTCTGTTTATTTTTGCGAGGCTTTTTTAGAGACCGAGGAGCTTTAGCTGCCTCATCCTAGGTATCATAAATAAATTTCAGATTAAAAGAGAAATACACGAAGATCTAAAGGTAAAAACTAAATACTAATTTTAAAAAAAAAAAAACTGTTGATTCTCTGTTTTCTGCTTCTTATCAATGTGAAGATCCTCCTCAGTGATCTGCTTCTCCATCTCCATCGCCGCCGTTCTTCTTGATTGATTAGGGTTAAAAATGTTACAATGACTTATTTGTAATTTGAATTGATAATATAAATATTTGTACCCAATTTTAACTAATTATAAAAGCGTATTTAACGTATTATTTAGGTTATCGGTGGCGTAAATTGCTTACTGATTCTTGAAACCCTTAATGGTAAAAAATAAAATCCGATCCAATTTATAAAAAAAATTAATTAACATGTTAGTTAACCATTTTGAAAGACAAGAAAAAATTATTGGCTGACCAAATTCACTATTCATTTTACGTCAAACAATTGGAGTAACTCCCGATATAACCGTGAAAACAAGACGTGTAAGTGGATCAAGTCATCAAGTTGTCATTGTAATAGGATATACATGTATACACCCTGTAATTTCATGTTAGAATGCGTTTTAAGTGAATCAATATGAGCAAGAGAGTTTAAGAACTTTTACAAAAATAATGATAGGTTAAAAAAAGTGTTAAGGAAGTATCATGAGGGTTGGAGGCTAAAAGAATCAAGGATATTATAACCCGTACTTATGGGGTAAAACTAGGAGTGCTTAATTCTAAAGAGGTCGTGTTTTAACGCATTCGAATCATATAATTTTCGTATGTTAAGTGTTAAAGTGAAATAAGTTGTAAAACAAAGTGTGACAAAACTTATTGCAAGTTACATTCATAATTTTACTATTTGGGTCTAATCTCAATATTTAAGGATGTAACAGGTAGGGGTGTACATGGACCGAGTTGGTTCGGCTTTTATCAAAATCAAACCAAACCAACTATATCGATTTGGATTGGTTCGGTTTTGTCGGGTTTTTGGATTTTCGGGTCTTTTTGTTACATGAATATTATTTCAATCTTACTTTTTAAAAATTATAGATAAAGCTTTGATAAGTGAATATATGTTTAGTAAATATGGAAAAAATTGACAAATATATGATCTATTAAAATATTCTAATGGGAGAATTTTTTTAGTAACACATGATAGTCATTTTCTTACTCGTCTAACAATAATTTTTCGTTAATTTACGCTTTCAAGGTTAATACATGAGAGGATCCCAAATATTTCTACATTTTCTAAAGAAAATTCACTATAAAGTCTTTAACATATAAATAAAATTTATATATTTATATGTCGGTTTGGTTCGAATTTTTTTACTCAATACCAAACCAATTCAAACCAAACCTAGTCGGGTTTTTCAATTGGTTTGGTTTGGTTTTTCGGTTGGTGCGGTTTTTCGATTCGGTTTGAACGCCCCTAGTAACAGGTACGGGTAAAACTATGGGAAACTTACACAAATGTCCCTAATAAATCTCAACTTACCAACCTCTAGCCATTAGTCATAGTCTTACCAAAACGAGCCAACAAAAATTGAAAAACCAAATAATAGGGTTCTTTCTCTCAAAGAATCACATGCAAAAATCACCTTCCATATTTTTAAGCGTGATTAGCAACATTAGATACAAGACGGAAAGGAAATTTATTAGACAGGGTAGCAAATAAGGTGATGAAATACAAAAATCTATACAATATTCCAAAAATCTAAACAAAATAGGAACTTTTTCAATGGGTATAGTTGAAATTCATTGAAATTATATAGATAAGTCAATATACAAAATTTGAGGAAGATTGGAGGTGATTTGGACTGGTTTTGTATCAAAATTCGTAATTAAATCGAGTTCAAAAAAGTCTTCTGCGACACATGTATCAAACATGTATCACGCATGTATCACACACACAGGTATACATGGATATACATGTGATACACAATTGATACAAATATGATATATATGTGATACACAAATGATACACAATGTGATACACATATCATTTTTTTTCATGTTCAGTTTTTACTTCGAATTTTCAATTCAAACCACCTCAAAACTTCACAAATCATCCAAAAACTGAGATTCAAGCTCCTTAAGTTGTGCCCAATCTATTCTAATAATACCCACTCAAAACAAAGCAAAAATTTGATATTTTTTTGCTACAAATAGCTAATTGGCTAATTTGGCTAATATTAGTTATATTTTATCAATTGGCCAATTTTTGTAATGAGCAACTTATAAATGGACATAGCTGGTAATTTCCCTAAAACTAATTGGTTGCATGCAAGCTGGCCCGGCCGGAACATCACGATTACTTAAAAAAAATCTAAGGATATAGTGACTACCCAAGTGTTAGTAGTACTCTTTTGACACTAAAGGAGATGAAATCTTAAAAAATTGGATGCTTCAACAAGAACGATGATAATAGGTGAATTTAACTATAATCACGCCTTAAATAATCACCTTCTTGTATAGTTTTGATGATAAAAGTGATAACAAAATGCTCTTATTAGTGCTTTTCATGATTTGCAGGTGATATATGATCAGGAAAGGCTAGGGAGTATTTTTGGAGTCAAAAATGAAGAAAAAGAGGCCAACTGTGAAATTCCCCAAGGAAACCACGCAAAACAGGCCTGAAGATTCAGAAGACTGGGTTGACCGCGGTTCCACCGCGACCGCGGTAGAACCGCGGTGGAAAATAGCTGCGGATAACTTCAGATTCAGAGAAGACATTTGGCTGTGGTTTAACCGCGACCGCGGTAGAACCGCGGCGGAAGCAGAAAACTTTAGGGACTAAAGTGTAAAACACGGAATTTTTAGACCTAAACCCTATTTTAAATAAAAGACTTCGCCCAAGAGAGGCATGTATTGAATTTTAGAGTATCTTGGCAAGGAAAACAATTGTGAGAGATCACCTTAAACATCTTTCTTCTTTTCTTTGATTTTTATTGCTAGTTATGATGAATTCTATCTTAGTTTGTTTTTCCATAGCCATGAGTAGCTAAATCCTTTGTCTAAGGCTTTGATGGAACCTATTGGGGGATGAACATCTTGTTTATGTGAATACAAATTGCTAGTTTCAATCTCTATTTGTTCACTTTGTGCTTGTTGTAGTTAATTGACAGGATCCTCAATTAGCTGTGCCTATTTAGTGTGCATAACTTGGAAAAGAGTGCATATTTAGGTTATTGTTGAACAACACCACTCCCAAAGTATAAGAGGAATCTATAATTGCGGGTTTAAAGGCGGGATTAGGGATAACGAAGCCTTGGGTGTAATCTAAAGTGAATTGTGCTAAATAAAGTAAGCTAGTGTATCTCGGGAGAGTGCAACTAGTATATTACTGTAATTACTCGGGAGAGATTTACGGTAAGATGAGCGTTCATGCTTAATAGAGATGTATTGGTAAATTTGTATGAGCATAAACAGAAGGGATTCTTTCAATAGGGAAAATCATTGCCTTAGCTTCTTCTCATCATTGTTTACAACCTTAGCATTTTAATTTACAGCTGTTTGATTTACTTGCAATCGTAGTTAGTAAAGCAACCTTCAACTGTGATTCAAACATCTGGAAAACTGGTTCTGAAGAGTTTAGTGGGTCTAAAGATAGTGATTGATAGGTTAACTCTCTGTGGATTCGACCCTGGGCGTAATACTCGGGTTATATTTGCAACGTCCGCAGAGTCCTTTTTATAAGGCATAGTTGGGCGTGATCAAACGAAAACACTTACTATCAATAAAGAATCTAAGAATGTAGCTAGGGGCGGATCTATTGTCCCAATTAAGGGACACGTGAACTCATGGTCTTACCATCAAACTAGGTATTTTATGTACATATTTTTTGAAATTAGTCTAATATTATCTTTTGGCACCCGTGTTCTAAAAAGATTGAATGGTGCGCTTGGTTGAATACTGAGTTATTAGCGACGGACAAATTCTGTACTAAATAGAGAAATCCGTCGCTAATCTCAGTTAGCGACAAATTAGCGACAGATTATCAAGAAATTCTGCTAGCTAAGGGCGATTTAGCGACAGATTAGCGACGACGTTCGTAGCTAATTCCAGTTTTTTTTAGTAGTGAACAAATACTAGATCCACCTCTGAATGTAGTGGTACCGATGAAACTAATTGATTTGCACACAAACTGATCCGACTCGGACATCACGCTTATATAAATAAAAGAAAATCTAAGGAAGTAGTGCCTAGTCAAGTATTAGTAGTACTCTTTGATTACTCGCGTCTCTAAGCTTAATAAGTACTCCCTCTATTAGGACTGAAGTTAATAGTCAAAACAAAATGTTTACTGTGTAACTTGTAATGTTGACGGATTATTCAAGTGGCAAATGTTGAGGGACTTGTGACTTAGATCGAAGTTCAAACCTTATGCCAATTGTCATGCGAATTAAGCCTGATTTTTAAGTGGAGATCGAAGGATAGAGTGGTGGACTCATTATGTTTTCGAAGGTTGTAGTAATTGGTCCTATAAGAGTGGCCCCAGACGGATATTTCGGCCATAAAAAAATGTTTAACTTGTTATCGACATTCTTCTGATTATTAAGACGAGCAGAAACTTAATAAGTGCTTATTTATTTCAAATATAGAATTATCATAAATAAAATAAAATGTTACAACTTACCTCAATATAAAGTTCTTGCAAATTCGGAGCACTTCTCAGCAAACAGAAAACAGCAGATATTTGAGCCAAGTCCATAAAGTTTAAACTTTTGAGTTCAAGAATCTTTAGAGAGTATGGTTATCTCGATATCATAGTCGAAACTGGAGGTTCAGCTAGGACTTGAAAGAATAATATGTGAAAACATATATTTTAGAATCAGACTCAAGAATTATAGGATCATTTATATGTTAGTTCTGAAGGCAAATACAAACTTGATTATAGAAACCAAAATATAAAGGCATGAACATGTACGAGATAATTGTATCTATGGTCATTGAACTTTTGTGTTTGTTACCCAAAAGTTACTTTTCTTTTTTTTTTTTGTTACGTAAAAATCATTTAACTTTGTGTTCATTACACAAAAGTCACTTTTTTTTTTATTTTGTTACACAAAAATTATTTTACTTTGCTCTAGTTATCACAAAAGTCACATTTTTACTTGAAAAGTCTATTATGCCCTTGATATTATATAGACCTT